AGCCTTGTTAACTTCATTCCAACTTCAGTCCTTTGAAATGAGCTTATCTCATTTCCAATGCCAAAATGGGCTTTAACTTTAAACAAAAAAGGCATCAGCTTGCCAAATTTGGACATGACGTTTGACTGCAGCTATTAAAGGGAGCAGAACCACTGATGAGTAAATGAGCTGAAAAGAAGAACAACTTCTTCCTCGGTCAGCTTTAAAATTCTCCATCAGAGCTTTTACAGGCTGTCAGAACTGAAGGGCAAGCCCTTTTCCATACGCAACAGGAAAACACAGCCTCTCAGAAAACATCTTAACTCACATAAAATTAATTGTGAAATTTGAGAAATGCAGCAATTAAGCACAAAATTTGAGAAATGTTTTGCAACTTTTTTGGCAGGAGCCATAATTATGAGGTGACATTACATCAGGCTCGCAATGAAACCAATAAAGGACAACAAATTTCTTTCCTAGTCATAACCATATCTAAACCCCTGCAAAATAGGCAAAATTGAAATAATATGACAAAATCAACATTTCAGAAAATGAGTTGAATAATCAGAATATTAGCAACACAGATTGCAAGTCAATATATGCATAGGTCAGTTTGCAAACACAGAGCTGCAAACATAGGGTATAGACATGAGTTTTCAGAATTAAAGTAAGCAGTAATTTTAATACTTTAATGTGACATCAGCATCTCATTCCATTTAGATTCTTTTAAAATATTTTTAATTATTTTACAAATGTCCCCAACTCCTCCCTTACATTTTTTTAAAATTAAAAAACAGGGGGAATAAAATCAGTTAAGATGAAAACCAATCACATCTATAATTAAAAAAACTTTTGAAAATAAAATCTTTTCATTTCTATTTTCAATGTGTTTCAATTTGCTTAGAATTTTATAAAACACCTCTGAAACATATCATTTCATTAAAAAAAATTACTTTCCACTTACTGGCTTGTTAATTTAGGACAGATCCTTAATGTGCACTTTAAAAGGCTTTAAGACACCTACTCCTCACTTGGTAAGTAGGACACTTCTTGAAAAAAATTGATGTTTACATCTTCCATTTTTGCAGTATTCATGGAACAAATATACCATTACCATTTATGTTTAACATTGAAAGTTAAATAATATGGGAAAAAGAAAAAAAAAAAAAAAAAAAAAAATCAAACCAAAAACAAACAAACAAAAAAAAAACCTAAAACCCCATGCATTCTTGACTTCCCAAATCTGCATACAAAAAAAACTAAGAAAATGCTTATCAGTTTCAGTCTGCTACTCAGAATCTAAACAGCAGAGAAAAATACCAGAGTTATGTAAAAATGATAGCCAGAAGTTTAACATTAGAGGTCAGTTGACCTAAATCACTACTTCAAAGCACTTGCAAAGCTGGGGCAGGTAGGGAGGAGTTGTAGGAATGTCCTCCACCTCACATGTATTTCCAGCCTAGGAATTTCTAATGCCTGGGAGAGGGGTAAAGGACAAGAGCTCCACTCCTCCCTTCTTTTCTAGATGCATGAGAAGAATAAGAGAGGTGCTTGTCACCTAGGAAAATGAGAGAGGACTTCTCCCTTGCCAGGAAAACTTAGGGTACTGCTAATTTGTAACCAAAACCTGGTAAATTCACCAGGATTCAAATTATTAATCATTCCTGTTCCATAACAATGGAATTAGGGAAAACTACAATCTGTATATAATCAGTCTTATTGCCTTGGGAACTCTTTTAAAATAAGTAGTATTTCTTATAAAAAGATTTCCCATATACCCATGAGTTTTGAAACAGAAAACAGGCTGTGCAGTTTGGAACACTCTGACCTTTCGCCTCTGGACAGCCAGTTTCAGTACATGCTGTTCCACATGTGCAAGTGATTTTCAGGCTCCATTCAGCATCCTAGATTGTTGCTGTCTAAACACCACAAACAATGAAGTCCAATATAGTTTATTATGATACAGACTAAGCTCTGAAGTAAGACAGGAGGTTTAGGACTTAAAAAGTGGACTCTGGAATGTTTGGGGGTTTTTTGTTTGTTTCAGCCTGTACAGGGTTTATTCTGGTTCTGTAGCCTGAAACAGAGTACTCCATGAGTTTACAAAAGGATGAATTGATTTTAAACATTTGCTCCTTAAAACCTTTTTCCCCAACTCTCAGTCTGCCAAGTTGTCAGGAAAACATTTTCTTCCATCAAGACAGAGACATACTGGGAGAAAAAATAAGAAAATTATGCCCAAAAACATTGTGACGTGAGGTAAGAAGAATGTCTTTTGCTTGCAACATGGAAAACAATGGCATGCCATGGGCACAGGAGTTCGATTGTCCAAAGCTAGAGAAGTGTCATGGTGTGCAATGACGGATTTGTGTACCATGCTACCATTCCAATGCCTAATCTGCAACCCCAGCTCCCAAATCTCAAAACGTTGAGTGACACAAAGGAATTTGACATAGCTTCTTCTCTCCTTCAATTTTTTGGGGAGGAAGCAGGTTGAAAATGGTTGTTGTACTCTTCCAGATTGCACTGGATAGAAAAATGACATTTGGCACAAAAATCAAATGAAATATTAACCTGGAAAGCAAAAGTCTGCTTCAAATATTTGGATAGTCATACTGTAAACCAAAAGACTACATCATTATTCTGAGGAGGCCAGTTTAGACAAAAATTCATAACACAACCATTAAATTCAGAGGATATGTATTTGCAGGTAAGAAGAGTTGTAACACCAATGATCCTACAGTACAAAACAAGAAAATTAGTAAAAATACTTGTTTTCTAATATGGAAGCTTCAAAGACACAAGGGAAAAAAAAAAAAGGGGGAAACAGCACATTGCTTCATGTATACAAAAATACATTTTCATAGTTACAACTATTATGAAAGAAAATATGATGCCCTAAAACCAGACAAGAAAAAAGAAAATGTTCTTTACTGAAAGGAAAGTGGATAAAATGCACTGGCTTCAATCCAGCTCAGCTGGTCATTTTGGTCTAGCATGTAAAAACAGAAGTACTCTAGGTTTTTTTTTATAAACCAAAAAAATACATACAGATACTGTGGGTGAAGGACTTTTAAAAAGCAGTCACTGAAAAGGAACTATGAAATAGCCTTATGTGACAAGCATCAAGTCAGTACTGCCTTTAAATCTTTTTTTCTTTCCCCTCCCTAATTACCAAGATGGAAAAACAACCACAAACAAACAAAAAAAAAAAAACAACCAGCTGAATCTGGGAAAATAAAAGAAAATAAAACCAGATCTAGGAATTGCTTTCCAGAGCAACAGCACCTTGGAGAGCAAGCCACCCTTCCAGTAAACCAGGCAGAAAAAAAATCATTCTTTGAGCAAGAGCTCAGCTTCAGATATGCATATGATTTCCACGTAAACTGAGAGCAATCACTTGCCTAGAAAAAGGTTAAGTCTACCCTGCCCTTACCTATATCTAGGAAGATTAGAAGGAACATATGAGCAAATTTCAGTATAGTATAGAAACATGAACAAACTTTACAGGTACTTAAGCAATCCCAAACCTGGGTTTCTTAAAAAAAACAAACAACCAAATTAAAAAAACCACACCCAAAAAGTAAAACTGCACATTAAGATATAAATCAGTAACTTCAGAATGGGAATTTGGAAGGAATCTCTCCATTGAACAAGTTATTATACAAGCATAATTTTTGACACTGGAAACTCAGGGTCTGATTACACTGTTTGACCTGACACTGAAATTCTTATATTTCAAAAATATTTTCTACTGCAGGATTTGCAATCTCAATATTTGACATTGCAAGTGTTCAGAGAAAAAGAAAATGCAAATTGCACAGGAAAGAACTCTTTAAATGAATACATCTAATATGTTGTTCAGTTCCTACAAATCAAAACACACTATAGGATTCACTAGGAGAAGTGGAGTGAACAGAGTACCAAATATGCAGGGTGTTTTCACTCAAAACATATAATCATGGAAGAGGAGAAAAGGTAAGAAACTGAAGTACTACTTTGTGATAAGTTCTGACCTTGAACACACACAGTGTACTCTGTCAGGATGAACTGTATAGTGGCAATACTTTGAAGGCATATACTGAACCAGTCTCAAAATGTTAGGACATACCAGAGTATGTACACCACTCAGAAGGAATGAGAGGATTCTTTTCCTCAACTTCAAAATACACTAAAGAATTTCAGCTATCAAGACTAATACACCACTGACCTAAACACCTGCCTTATTTCTTTAAATGTGCCTTTCTTCCTTCACATTCCTAAGGTAAGCTGTGTCCCCACCAGCTGACTGTCACCCTGCAAGCTCTTTGTGATACAGATACCCTTTCTGATGGTTTACTTTCAAAGAGTCACTACTATGTGTTTCATTCTGATCAGGATGTGAATTATACTTTAATAATAGAGCATATCTTTGAAATATTCTTGACAAGAACACAGTTACAAAAACCTCTGGTGAACACTACTACTACTAGCAAGCCACAAGTAAAGGACAACTACCTTTAGAAAGCCAAGATTTCTAGAAAGAAAAAAGGACATCATCACCTAATACCACATTTCTCTTCCACAGTATGAGAAATATGTATGACATCAGTCCAGATTTTTCAGGGCATTAGGACTGGTACATGCCATGGTCTCAAGTGACTATCTAAAAAATGCAGCTGAAGGGCTGGAAGGAGTGTTTAATGCAATAAACTATTACATTACAAAGAAGACCTTGAGAGGGAAATCTCCTTATTAGTATTTCTGTCGACATGAACCAGAGTCATGTGCAAAGTCAAAGCACCGCACTGCATAGCTGAATCAAACACAGGCAACATAAACAGCGTGATATCAAGTGAGCAAGGTTGCTTTAAGAAACCAGAAGGACGCTGCATCCTGAAGCTTACTGATTGTCGGGCTGAGGGGAAGCTAAAGCAGCAGATAAAGTTGATGCATTTGTTGTAAGCTTTCCAGCATTCAAGCTTTATTTGTCAGAGTTTGATACTCCCCTCTGTGGGTGGAGAAGCCGAGGGACTGACTGACGTCACCCAAAGAGTAGGGATAAAGTGCAGTGCCCACAGCTTTGGAATGAGTAAAACTTCTTAGGAGGTAAAAAAGGTCGGCTGCCCTGTCTGGCAGGTGCTCTGCTGACAGCAACCTTCCTCCTATAGCTCAACTCCTCACACGGACCCGAGGAAAAAAGAACATTAACCAAGGAAAATCTGTCCACAATGCCACAAAACGTTATTCTCCAAGGACCGTCACCCTGGGGATTCAGGCTCTCAGGAGGAATAGATTTTAACCAACCCTTAATCATAACCAGGGTATGTACTTTTTACATTTCCTTTCTATTTACTCCATTTAAGAGTTGCTGTAGATTTTTTTTGTCTTTTACTTTTCTGGAGTTCAGAGATGCAGAAAAAGCTGTGAGTAGATTAAAAAGTAGCTGCCAGTTCTGAGGAGAGCCAGCTGAATACTAAGTTTTTACAAGTTTTGTGTGACATGTTCCTGTGATTGGTCTAAGAGACTTTAACTGCACTTCTACTTAGGTCTCAAAATTAAATTCAAGTGCCTTGGCAGCAGAAAAACTCTGGCATGATTTCCCAGGCTTTCAAAATTAACATTTAAACCTACTAAAAGCAGGACCTCACTTTTGTGCTTTCCACAGCTAGCCTCTCTGATCACTGGGGGAGAAGACTGCTTGGCAGCAGCTCCTCATGCCTGGGAGTTTGTGCTTTGCCAATTTATCTGACTCTTATTTAATTAAACCAAGTTCTGTTTATTGCCAGAAAAGGCAACAATACCTGTTTTTACATATCTGAAAGTTTTCACTTCCATGAATGTTAAATGAGTGAGTTATTAGAAAGTTATCCAGTCCTGCATATGAAAGAGATAGTTATTTGGTGAGTTTTGCCATATTTAGAAACTAAAAGCTTATCTTAACCACCCCCCCCCCTCAATAAATGGCAAGAATTTGAGCCTTCATTATTTTTCATGGATTTTAGCTGCAATTTAAGAAATCAGTGACTCGATCAATGTAGCATACAACACACTGTCAGCTGCCCTGCATCTACAGATGCAGATCTGCTCAAAAGACAGGATACATATTTTGAGAATTTTTGTTTTTAATTGTGTTCAATGCACACCAGGCTAGAATTAATTCTCCTTATATTTCTACTGCTTTTCAGGACCTTAGACACACCAAATATGTGTTCCATGAACCTCCAAATTGCTATGGTTTTTCTGTTTCATTTTTCCTTTTTTGTTTAAAAAAAAAATCCCTACACTATGACTCACTATATGACTCACTGACTATGCCTGGTATTGAGTAAACGTCAAAAGCCTTGAAGGATGGATACCACTAGTGATGTCTTGCAGTAAATACGCTTCCAAACAAGAATCAGTAGAAAGTTTAAGGGCCATCTTTTCAGTATTAACTCGTAAAAATTAACTTAGTCATTCATTCAAGGTTTATAAAAGCATAAAAAAAATTATGTATTTTAAATATAAGTAAATCAAAATGCTATTATCTGACTGAATGTAGTTACAGAACAAATACTCACAGAATATAGCAAAGCCTTTGGAGAAACAGGAGAGAGAAACATTGAATTAAAAAAAATCTCCGGCTGTTTTAGGGCCTTCATTGCCTTTTATGGGCTTCTAAAAGAAAAATAGTTTCCATTATCTCTAATGAAAAATATTTTAGCGGTGTCTGGTTTGTATTTTCTTTGTGTTTAGATTAAGAGCAATGAAGTTTAAAACTGCAATAACAAAGGATGTTACTATAAATATAACTTTCTAAAGAATAAATTACTTTGCAGTTGACTCATACCTACCAAATGCCTCACAAGACATAAGCCTTTGGTTTCTGGCATATTACAGAAATGCCCAAAATCACATTTCAAGTATTACAATGAAATATATATATATATATATGAAAAAAGGTCACATTTACTTAGTTAAGGCTTAAGATTATTAACAGTAAATTTGTTTAAAGTTAATATTTTTGTTGCCACTGCATAAATTTAGAAGAGTCCTTCAATATGTATTCATGCAATATCCCTTAAGAAATAGAGAACATTTCAGAAGATTCACCAGTCTTGCTTCTTGGGGCCTAGGTGTTCCTTTTGTAAAAGTTATCATAAGCAGCCCATTCATACTAGGCTTAACTGTCCTGACAAGAAAAAAACTAAACCATAAATAGAAATTATTTGTAAATATATTCTGAATAAAATAATTGGACAGGTGTCAAGATTGGTTGGCTACATCCTTGTTCAACAAGAGACAGCTTTTATCAGGACTTGTCAAGAGAGACAGATGACTTAAGAGATCATTATCCACCTGTCTAAAGAACAGATGTCACTTCAAAAGCTCATGTGAAAATTGTTCTTTTTTCAAGCAAATGCAAAAACTACAGACCGTAATCACTGAGAGTGAGGAAGGACAGGAGGGGAATAAAAATCAATACATTCAAGTTCTATTACAGTCAGAAACAACAAATTAACTACAAAGACTGAAAACATTAAAATCCTTGGAACTTTGCATAGATGGAAATAAATTGCATTAATGGAATTGATTACAGGAACAATTGAAACTTGTGCAATTTGGAGAGAATGGTAAAGTATTATCAACTCTAGATTTAAGTTCTATTTTATTTTTATAGAACTTTACCAATCACAAGCAAGTATTCATATCAACTCAATTTTATGTTTAGCCACTCTGTCCGCAGACATTCATAACTTTCTTCAGAAAACACAGGGCCTGAAATATTTATGATTGTGCAACGTGATAAGATTTTCAAGACTATTATCAGATGAAGAGAGGTTTTCTTCAAAGTTTCATTGGAGACATTTGACCCTCATGTGGTTAAATAATTAGTCTGTAACATCTGAATGATCAACACATATTTTTGTATTTATCCAAATCCAAGATACACAGGATAAAAGAGTAACAGGCTTATCATGCAGACATGGCCTGAAGAGCAAGGCAAAAATTTTCCCAAAGCAACACTAGAATTTACCTCATGAAGCCAGGGTGAACGAGCAACAAACACTACAGTCAGAACAGAATTCTAAGTGTTCAAAATACACAGTTAATGTGTCACTAGTAAGTCCTTAAGAAATAGTACCACTTATATTATTGAGGTACCCACAATATCAACCTCTTACCCATGATACCTTGCACTGCACAATGTGGTCCCTTTCTATAAAACACAGTCTGCAGGGCAGGTGCCTGTTTTGCACCCTATCAGGACTGGGCATGTAGAGCTCAGCACCCCCATCAAGGTGTTAAAGCCCAAGAGACACATCTCAGAAGCTTGGCAATGATCAATTCAACCAAGGAAGAGGAAATATAGACCCCTGTGTCTTTCCCTCCTCATTCCCACCAAATGATGGTAACCCTATTCAAACATCTAAGTGGTATCACTGCAGCCGCTGATGACTTATAAAAGCCAAGGGATTTAGCAGCAACACAGAGCAGGGCATTCTCTGCTGGGGAATGTACCAGTACAGTTGCAGGGGAATGTACTGTGCTGGGCAGATACGCTGCTTTATAAGGCAGGATCATGATCTCAAGGCTTTGCTGCAGTATGTCACAGGTACAGCAGATGATTTGTTGTGATGTGCAAAAAACATAATCTGCAGAGTAACCTCCATAAGGGTTATACAAGCTAACTTACTCTTGAGAGGGAACCAAGAATGGTTGGTTTGCCCAGTTAGGTATAAAGCATCAACAGTCACATTGGAACACGAGGAATTCTGCTGCAGTTTGTCATTGCAGACATATTCACAACATGCTAAGCTAAACCAGGAGCAATTCTACCTTGAAGGGAGAAGAATAATCACACCTTAACCCCTGTCTTATTATAGTGGTGTAAGTGGTCTCAGTGTTGATCACTTACACTTGCAGCTGTTGAAGTTTGAGAAGCAGACAATTTTAGAAATTTCAGACTTAGAACTGATAAACTTCCTCGATTAATATTCAAACAGATTATTCAGGCACATGAACACTTTGTTAAGCGCACAGTACCCTAGTCCATTTTTTTTGAAAAGTGAGGGTGTAAAAGCCTGCAGCTGGCCACAAGCACCTCTTTGGAAAGTTTGCCTGACTTGGTAATAACACATGCATTGTAGTTTGTTACAGTGGTATCAAAAATAAGGTTACACATGGGAATGCAGAAAAAGAGCTCACCAAACAATCTCTCTGATCATTCAGACTCACCTAATGGAGATGGAAGGAGGAGAGAGCAACACTTCTTCACTGATTTTTGCCATTATTTTAATACTAATACAGTGCAACTTATATTAAAAATAATTTCTGTTTGGCTTTTATGTTGACAGTAGTGTCCCCTTCAGAGACAAGTCTGCCAGCTTCACCAAAACTAGAAATGCTGGAAGTACATTGGGCAGCTTACTCTTTTCCTTTGCTGGAAAACTGAAACACCAGAGCTGAATAATGTCTCCACAGCATGTTTTCCAGTCAAGATAAGATGTGCTTTTGCTGAACAGAACTCACAGTGTTTGTGAACAGCAAAACCCACATTGAGAAAGAAATCTCTCCAATAGCTTTTTCATTTAATATATGACACAGATAAAAGAACTGCTTTTGGAAATAAGACTATATTGACATTTTTTTCCTTCACACTGGGATTATTCTACTTACATATAGGCAGCTAATATTACTTTGCATGACTCAACTTGTCCCTTCTGCTGTTCAAGAGCTGAATTTCAGAAGCTTATGGGCTACATGCATCAATTTCATGTCGCCGTCTAGGTAATCAAGAGTTGCCTAAAATGGCAATACACACGTAAGGGACAGACATCCCACTCAGTGACCTAAGACCTGTGTTGTGTATGGTATGTGTGTTGTGGTGGCAGGAGAAGTCAACTCTTGCAAATAGAGGCCTGCAATCCTAGAACAAGCTTCAGTAACATCTAAGGTCATGGCCTCTATACAGTAGTTGTTTTAAAGCAAAATTTTTTTGCATTTCAATTATTTTCACAACCATACAGAAATTTGTCAACAAGACAAAAAAAAAAAAAAAGCAAGCATATAAAGATAAGCTATGGGCTATTTTCTGTGAATGTCACAGATGGTGGTATGTGTACACAAGGTATGAATTGCACCACACAGACCACCATGAAGGATCAGGGCCACTGTTACTCAAATGCCATGGGACTTAAACCTAAGCACTTTAAGGAGTTCAGCAACACATTTTCTTGCCAGTTCTTTTCTTCTGCTGTTTGTTCTTCCGATGTGTTGTTTTTTTTTAACCAGATTATATATATAATAGCAGTGGAGAAAGAAGATTTAAAGATGAGTTGCAGTAATTACAGAAATCAGAGTGGAAACTAATGCAGAAATGTGAAGATAATTTCTATCTAATTTGGAGTTATGATGAATAAAACATTCATATGGTTTCCTGACAATAGAACTACAGAACTTTTGGCGAAATATTTCCCCCATCCAACAGGAAATAGGGGAATGTGATGAAGTTCATTGTCTCTATCAATTTTGGGCATGCAATTTTCGGGTGATTAAGCAGTCACATTTTGGTCTTTTCAGATTACACCTGGAAGCAAGGCTTCAGCTGCCAACCTGTGCCCTGGTGATGTTATTATAGCTATTGATGGTCTAGGCACAGAGAACATGACACATAATGATGCCCAGGAGAGAATTAAAGCAGCTACACATCAGCTTTGTTTGAAAATAGAGAGGTACGTGTACATGTCTGCCTACTGCTTAAAGAAGGTACTACTCAATCAAAAGTACAATTATTATATGGTGTAACTATTTCAAATAGTTTGAGGAAGTTCCCAAGATCCTTAAAATTACAAGCAACCAGACCTACCTCTTAAGCTACAGGTCAAGCAAGACTCCCCAGAACTCATCTTTATAGGCACAAAAAGAACAGCTTCCCTCAGGTTATTCACACTGCAATTCTGCTGACTGCACAAATCCTGTTTACTGTCAGTAAGCAAGCAGTTCTTCATGTTTTGGGGAAATAATAAAATCCGCATCTAGTGTCAGTTGCTCAGTGACCTCTCTGCTCTAACACTCCCTCAGCCACAGGTGCCTATCACTGCCTCCTCCCAACCACACATAAAGCCACTACTGTATCATCCCAGTTAGGGAAAACAACATCATGTCACTTTCATAAGGGGCGACAAAGGAGTGAGTTTAAAGCAAATCAATCTCTTTGGTCACAACATATTAAACCTCATAAAGGATTTTCAAAGCAATGTTCAAAATAAAACTGAGAAACACTGTCTTACCTAAACTGCAGTAATCCAGAAACTTTTGTGTTCACTTCTCTCTACTAGAGCCAGGAAAAGAAACAACTTGCAGCTTCACATCTCCAGCTGAGTTTGCTCAGCCTGTAATCAGAACCACTTGGCACACTCTTTCAAGCTGTCTCCAAAACTAAGACAGGGCTGATTAACCTGAGGCTCTCAAGGAGGCACAGCTCTTTATTGCAGCTGACTGCAATATTTCTTTTGAAATACAGAAGTGTTTCTCTTTTTTTAAGGAGTATTGTTGAATGACTAAAGCACACACCATAGTTAAAAATTCCTTCTGTTAACTCAAGGTTCCGCTACAGATTGATATATGCCATTTAACAACTATGTTGGGAAGCCAATTTCAAAATGTTATAAATGTATATATAACAAGTAGCATCAGATTAATATTTAAAATTACTATTATGCTACTTTAAAATTAGCTGCCACATTTCCCTTTGTCAATGAAAACAGAACTGTAGCTGGTATTTTGTGTTTGTTACTTCTGCCTACGTGGCTGAAAGAATCATCTGTGCAACTTCAATTTCCCCTTGCACATACTTTGCATACCTAGGTTGTACTTCAGCATTGAAAAGTAGGCTTGACATGGAAATTATGGTCTTTAAAGAAAAATGAATTGATGTTTAGGATGATTACTAATACACTCGCTTATTCATATAAAATATTCTGAGGACACAACATTCATTCTAGCAACCATTAAAAAAATAAAACTAAAAAGTTTGGTCAGCTCAGGTCAGAAAGGCACTGATTTCCCTTTCCTTTTGTGTTTGGTAATTATTAAGAACCTATTTCCCATTGTTAATAGGATACATAATTTTTTAAAATGTAAATACATTTTATACATATCAGTTACATATCATTAACATATTTTTATGTCAAAACACTAAAAAAAACCCTACAGATTTACAAGCTGCATTATATTTTATGGGGACATACACAACTCTGTAGGAATTCAAATTGTTTAAATTCTGCCTTTCTTTCTTTCTTTCTAGGGCAGGAACTAAGTTATGGTCCCCACAAGTTTCAGAAGATGGCAGAGCACATCCCTTCAAGATAAATTTGGAAGCTGAACCTCAGGTATGAACTGTGCAAAGTTACCTAACCATTTCTATTTGCTTTTTTAAAAACCAAATAATCTCTCTTGTGGTCATTAAAATTCATTAACTAGAACTTCATCCATGATTGGCCAGTTTAAGCTCATATGAACCACCATGTTTATAACATTCAGGAACACCATTTTATCTGACTCAGTGTTTTTGATTTTTCAGCTATAACAGAAAAAAAAACGTTAAGAAGATAAACAAATTCTCATTTTTCTTTAAGAGTCCACATATCACCATAGTTCTATTATGGAAATAAAATATGTTCTCTTATTCTGATACAGTTTAAGTTGCTTTAACTCTTTTAGAGATTCTTCGTCATATGAGGAAGTTCTTCAGTCGGGAATAAATATCAAGTATTTAAGTGATGAACTCATCAGATCACAAAATTCATTTAGATGTAGTCAGTTAAACAGAGAGATCCATAAAAGCTGGATCTCTTTACCTCCATACATTTTTATACTATGCCACAGAACTGAAGTTTACATACTTACACAAGACCCATGTACTTGGTCAATAAGCAAATCACTCACCACTTCTGACTAGGAAAGTCTTGATCGTTGTATATGGCCAAAGCAAATCCAATCAATCGACAGCCATCTCTCTTTTCAAACTCATCGTTGTATATGGCCAAAGCAAATCCAATCAATCGACAGCCATCTCTCTTTTCAAACTCAAAAAAGGAAAAAGCTACTATGAGTCAAAGTCTTTATATTGCTAATAGTGAATTAGCTAGGTATTTATATATAGAAATATAACTATTTCTTTATCAACTTTATAACTTTATTTCTTTGTCATTCCTCTTTAACCTACATAAACATTTGCTGTTATCTCAAGAGCAGGGAGGGAAGAATATTCTGCTGATCCTGGAAGGCCAGGTTCAAAGAAAATATGTCAAAGTATTTATTCTATGATATGCAAGATGAAAAAAAAGTCTAGATTCCATTTTGATAAACCCTGTGCACTAAGTATTTCCACCAATTCTGTTTTCACGGAGATGCTCCCCAACATGAATACAGCACTTCAGTGTTGCATTTCTCTCTCTTCTTTCTGATCTAAGACTTGCATTAAGTGACACAGAAAACTCCATCAGAAACAATATAGCCTCTTCAGCAGCAGGAATACCATAGTGAAGAAACAAAAGTATTTTAAATGCATATCCTTGTAGAAGAGCTAGGATACACATTACGGATTGCTATGACTAGCAATGGAACAAATTCACTAAAAAACTATAGAGAAAACCATGCAGGCATGCATTACACAAGAGTAATCCCTCTGCGTGAAAGCTGCATTCCTAAAAAGGACGGTTCCTTAAAAATAGATTACAAGAATTCACTAAGTGCTATTTGGCAGACTATTGAAAAGCAGTCTCCACTGGGCAATCAGAAATAACTGTTTGTCCTAGATTAAACGGCCAGTCTTTTCATTTAATGTATCTTTTTCGTTCCTAGGAAGTTCAGGAGTACTGAGTATATTTAATAAATAGTAGGTACCATAAAAGTAGAAATGTTTGCAAACAAACATACTAAACCGTTCCTGGAATGTTTTACATTTTAGATTAAATTCTTCCATATGAGTATCTGTCTCTTCCTGAGGAATAAAAAATAAATATAGCCTATTTTTCTACAATTGCTGGGATTTGAAATTAAATTTTACAGTATATTTTGTCACAACACGAGATGCAGAAGCACATATACCAGCAGAAAAAACAGTAAGAAGTTTCTTGAATCTCAGATGACAAATTTTTGCACAACTACTACCTGTGTCCAAGTCTTATGAGAGTCTGCTGAATTCTAACAATAAATACAGGGACTGAAGCCAGGATGAATGGAGAAAAATGCAAAAGCAGAAATTGTTACTTCAAATGTAAAACTCTTTTACTCAGAAGTATTGCATATGTTTACTGGTGTGCAGAAATGGAAGACCACTGAGTTCTATTTATATAGTAACCAAAATTACCCAAAAGGTCATGGATTTTATGAATGTATCAGATTTTTTTCACTCTCATCAAATTTCTGTATTCACTAAGAAAGTTAAGAGAAGTCAGTTATTTAAAATTAGAATCCAGCTAAATAACAATAACAAATGACAATATACACAATCTCCTTAATAAGTACCTAATTCAAATCTGTAAGCTAATAAAAGAGAATTACAAATTAATGGAAACCCTGTTTGAAATTGTTCAGCAATGTGGCTAAATAATTGGCCAAAGAATGCTTACTTTAGCTTCAATGAATGAAAATTATTCTCCAGATGCACGGAGATGGCAATGTGAAACCTGATAAACAATTAAATACTCTGCCAACGTACAGCTATGGAACAAGGAACCTTCACACTGTAGCAAACTTCTGAGTCAGCAGTTCTTGAGAATCTCCCAAGAGCCATTTGGAGACTGATACAGGCAATTGTTGGAGCACAGTGAAAGCTCTCATTATTTGTAAATCTGGGAAGAGGAAACTGAGGCAACAATTCTAATTTACAGCAATAAGTGCCTGACTGAGAGTCACTCTTGNCAGGATTTCAGAAGGAAGAATCACAGTCAATTTTTTCTTGAGTCCCAATTCTAGAATAGTTTATCAAGATTTGTAACAGTGATCATAGGGTAATCTGACTTGGTTTTAGAAAGAAATTTTAAAATTAGGGCTGACCTTTTCCAAAAACCAAGAAGCACTGCTCAAAGGGAGCTCATTTCTGCACTTAGTCTCAAAACCCCAAAGAAATTATCTTTGCAAACTAATGAAGATAAAATTAAGCACTGTAGCCTGTGGCACCTCCTTCAAAGCTTTAAATGTAAATGCAAGGGTTGGAATTAGGTCAACCATTTTCTGGATATATTTTTCTAATTGTGCTTAGTATACTCCTGTAGAAAGTAGTAGTTTCTGCCTCTCTAAAACTGTCGAGGAGCAGTGGAAGGAGAAGGTTGTTTGAGAGTGGCTTCATGGCTTTGAGTGCAGCATGTTCATGGCATTTCAGTTCCAGTCTCTTAGCTGTCATTATAAAATGTGATGGAGGAGTTTTATCCCTGCTAATAGAGTGATGAGTTTCAAAATGGGGGGGATACCCACATGAAGGACACCAAAGTGCCAGGCTAAGATCTCTGTGTCTGTCTTTGTTTGTCAACAGCCCATACTGGTCAATGGTGGTCCCAGCAGCAGCCAACCCTCTTCAGCATTTAACTAACAAGTGGGAAGAGACTGCAGTTTCTCAGGTTTAATAAGGGCACTGTAGCATAATTGCTGTCTTTGGATGGACCAGCGCCCACGAACCCTGAGATCATTCTGACTGAGGAAATGTTTTGTGCGATCTGTGACAACAGCCAAGCTCTTTGCACTCAGACCCCTCAAATGCACGGGGTCTGGCAACTGATTCAGCACAGGGACAGACAAACTGCTTGCTGAAGGTGATTGTGAACAAGCCATAGCAAAAGTGCTTGGCAGTGCTATGCCACTGAGGATTCTTTTTTAATTGGTGTTCCCAAATGGTCAAGAAACCCCAACCCAAGTGTTTTGCATAGTGCCTTTTGTCCTGTTCTGTCCAATTCCTGAGTGCTTTCCAGTTAATTGTATTAACTTTCTCCTATTGAGATGAGTGCAGTTGGTTAGAGAACACCAAGGTTGTGGGTTCAATGCCCATATGGGACATTCATTTAGGAGCTGGAGTCAATGATCCTTCTGGGTCTCTTCTAACTCAGAAAACTCTGTAAACTTCTGTTGGTTTCATGAAGATGTCCTCAGAGCAAAACCTGGTCAAATAAGGTACTTTCTAAAAAAAAGAAATGGGCAATTTTTTGGTGACTCTTGAGGAAAAGATGTAAAGTGTTCTGTCACAGGATGGGAATGTTTTTATTAAGTTTTATACAAATATTATTCTACTTGGCAAACTCTACCTGAGATAACAGCAGATGTATACTTTGTAACTTAGCAGTGGTGCTAAAACTCAAAACAGGGTTTATAAGTTTCTCTAGGAGATAAAATAAGAAAACGCAGAACCTGCATGAGTTCTGGTAATAAGGGCAGATACTTGTGTTGGGGGATAGAATTTGGGTAATACAAACCAGCAGTTACTCTGAAGCTTGCCACCTCTTCCAAACCTAGGCAAATACTTCATGGTTCCTGGTGTCATACTCAGGATCTATTTTAACAGCCAAAAAGCATATAAGTGTACAGAAACAGGAATTTATTGTCTGTCAATGCTATAAGTTCAGTCAAAACACACCAGTATAAAGCCTGTTACTTTTTACTGGTAATGGTAAGGATTCCATTTACTGGGCTATTCTGGACTTGGCAACAGAAGCATAGAAGTTTGAAGTTTCCTGTGGCCTGTCTATCATCTTTGGTTTTGGGATGAAGGTGATACCTCAAATCTTAGAATTTTCTTTGTGTATCTGGAATGTCCTCCTGTTGGGGTTGTTGCCTGCCCAGTGCTATCTGCAGCCAGATTTACTTTCTGTTTTATGTTTACCAGAGTGAGTCTAATAAGAGTTTTTCTGCATCAATTATGTTGGTTAACAGTTTTCTAATTTCTTCTAGTGAATACTTGGTTATGAGGCCTCCAATTCTCTGGCCAATGGTTTTGGAAACAGTTTATGTCTAATCAAGCTTTCAGTTGAAATTTACTTTCTTTTTAGCAGAGTGGCAAGTGCTGTGATCAGAGAGATGATCTCTAGGACAGTAATTCAGAAGGCACTTTAGTTACAGACTTATTACAGACACTTACTATATGGCATCCTATAATTAAATTTAATTGTATTGATCTTTAAAGAGAATGTGAGTAATCTGTAGTTTTTACCAAGGAGAAAAAAAAATCACAAAATAGTGTCAGAAGAGTACTTGAGTACCTTTATGCAGAATTATAACTATAGAATTATTTTTCTATAGAATTATAGCTATAATTATAGAATTATAACGTGGGTAACATTGAGACTGTTATTATGGTGAAAGTGCCCTTTAGTAGATAATAGTAAGAAGTATTTTTTTAATCATTAAGAGAATATAAATTACATACT